GCCATGCTACTTCTTTTGGCCCTCCATCATTTCTAATAAGAAATTATCTGTTAATTTTATTGACAATTCTTTGTGTGTGATAAATTAGTTTTGTATGGCTGCTTTCAAGATTCTTTCACTTTAACAGGTTGATTGTGATTTGATTAATTATAATGTATGAGTTTACCTATTAGGTGTTCAATGAAGTTTTTAGGTATGTAATGTCTTTCACAAAATGGGAATTTTTGCCATTTTTCTTTTAAATATTCTGCTTTTTTCTCATCTGCTCTGAAACTCCAACATTGTATATATCAGTAAGCCATATATATATATGGAGAGAGAGAGAGAGAGTGTGTGTGTGTGTGTCTTGATACTTAGTTTAAACTGGCATTAAACTCATTACATAGCCCAGGTTAGCCTTCAACATACAATAATCCTCCTACTTCAGTAACCCCAGTGCTGAGACTACAAGTATGTGCCACAACACCCAGCTTCCATAGATTTTTCAGTAAGTTTGATGGTGTCCTATAGATCTCTTAGGCTCTGTGTGTTTTTCTTCATTCATTTATTCTTTATTCTCAGATTGAATTAAACTCAGTTGCTTAAATTTAATGATTTTTTTTCTTCTGTCTGCTTAAATCTGCTATTAAATTCTTCTGGTGGATTTGTCATTTTGGTTGTTGTACTTTGTAACTGAGTTTCTGGTTGGTTGTTTTGATATCTCTTATTGATAGCAATTGTTCAAAAGAAAAAAGGAACTATGATGGGTAAAAAGGGAAAGGACAATAGGGAGAAGGGAAAAAATGCAAGTCAGTTACCCTATTATTATCTCTGAGTTTATTAAAAAGGAAGGCTTGTGTTAATATCAGTTGAAGAAATTTTTGTGTCCGTATCTTGTAACCTGGGCAACTAATTTAAAGATAGCAACATGTAATGTATTAATTATTGTTATTCTTCTATTATTTTGATACAGAGTTTTGTTTTACCATTTTTCCATAAAATATAGATATTCTCTATTTGGTAAGACATCATGTTCATATTTTCCTTTAGTTTTTTAGATGTGCTTTTGTTTAGTTCTTTGAACATTTTTATGATAGCTGATTTTAAGTTATTATGTAATGTATAAGTATTCTCATTTCTCTGCATCCTTGTCAGCATTTGTGATTTTCTTTAGAGTAGCTATTCTAAATAACATTAGATGATATCTTACTGTGATTTTGATTTCCAGTCCCTTATGATTAGTGATACTGGTCATTTTCTCATATACTTACTGGTCATTTGATATATTCCTTTTGCTTTTTTGAGACATGGTCTCCCGAAGCAGTTCAGGAGGTTTAGGCTTGCCTCAAACGCAATGTGTAGCCCAGTCTGGCCTCAAACTTGTGATGATCCTTCTCCTGAATGCCAAGATTCAATATATTCTTTTGAGAAATGTGTATTCAGATAATTTGTCCATTTTAAAATTCAGAGTTTTGCTGTTGAGTATTTTGTGCTCTCAACAATTCTTTTTTAAAGCCTGTTAGTGTCATTATTATATCTAAAACATTAGTAATACTATAGTCAAATGTCTACCTTATATTTTCCTGATGATTTCAAACTGTTTTGTTCTGAATTTGTTACAGAACTGTAAAATGGTCCACACATTATATTTGGTATTTCTTTTAAGCCTCAATCTATAGGTACTCTTCTCTCCTTTATTTTTTAGTTTATTTGTTGAGGGGAAAAAAGTATATTTATCCCTTTGGCTTTACTGATTTGCTTTGTCTAGATTTTGCTGATTAAATTTCCATGATAATGTTTGGCATGTTCCTTTGCTCCCCTTTTTTTCCATAGCCTTAATTAGAGTATATTTTATCTTTTTGAAAGACTATTTCATTTATGACATTATTTCTATCATTTTCTTCCAGTTTAAGATTATATATTTTGGTGCCTGTATCAAGGCTTTCCCTGGGTTAGCATGTAAAGTCTGATGTGTAATCTCTTCCCTCTATATATGATCTCTTTCCTATACACATGTACATCTATCCTCTCAGTAATATTCATTTCTTGGAGTTGAAAAGTAACTTTTTTCTGTTAAAATACCAGTGAAAAAAATCTGACCACCACCATCCTGATCTGTGAATCCTCTAGACGCCTTCTCCCAGCTCAACTACACTTGGGTACTCATAACACTCTCAGCCCTGCTACTGATAGCAGCCACTACTCCCTGAGTTTTCCTAAGCCTCATCCTTGGGCAACTAATTCCTGCTTATGGTCTTTAAAGCCTTGTTCTTGGCACAGAGCCACAACCACCTTTCCCTGAGCACCACCCCTCATGACCCTACAAAAGACCCTATAGTCTGTATGAGAGTTGCTGATAAGGTCTCTAGTACCAGACCGATCCCTCTTAGGTTTGTTCTGAAATAAACCTGTACTATTGAGCTCATACCTCCATTTCTTCTTTTCCTTTTTCCTAATAGCCAGTTCCTATTAGTCTTAGATTATAACCATTAATCTTTTTGTAATAAGTTTTTGAATGGTTAGTATTTTATAATTTTTAAAACCCAGAATCTATACCTTCATGAGCCCTGTTTTAACTATGTTAAAAAGTATATCTGTTTTATATCCAAAAATTTTATATCCATGCATAGATGATTTTCATCCATATTCTTCAGTATGCAGCTACTAGTATAATAATCTCATTTTACAGGTGAAAAAAACCACAAACTTTGAAAGATTAAGTAACTTACACATAGTCATTCATAATGGAGTCAGGTCTAGCTTTCAGATATACTAACACCAGATTTTGTGTTTCTTTTATTTTACTTGTTGACAATAATATCATATAATATTTCAAGCTGTTACTTCCACTCCTGTAAGAAAAATACCTTCTTTCAAATATTAATAGCATCATCAAATCTAATACCATAAAAAGGAAAAGATAGATTATTTGAGGAATGTACAATATCATAATAAGTCACACCAAAGTGTAAAAGAATTGAAAGGTTGTTTTACATTTAATGCTTTTGCTACCAGATGTGGTATCCTGTGGAAATTCTTTCTAGTTTTGGTGTCTTGAACAAAGAATTGGACAAGACACACTGAAAAGATAGCAAGGAATTGCATTTATTGAAGGTGGAAAACAAGCTCTGTAGAGTGAAAGCAGACTAGTGAATAGACTCATAACAGTGGCAAGGATAAGGAAAAGTAGTCTTTGGTATCTGAAATTCCTCTGTTGACTTCTCATGCAAGTAAAACATTGAGATAGCAGTTACCCTACAAATGCCTAGTTGGCCTGGTGCTGTATTTAAACTACCCTGTCAAAACTCAGGTTTGACTTTATGCTGGATGTAAATGAAGAATTGAAAATGGCACTTTTCTGATTGGTTCCATGTAAAGCACTCAGGAGCTGCAAAATCATCATGGATTCTGTATGTGCCCTGGGTCTCCATGATTTTGACAGATTCCACCCAATGTTTAACCAGTCTTCCCCAGCTCTAATCTCCTACCTCACTTTAACACTAGCATATTAATGTCTTCAGTTACTTTCCATATAGAAGTTAAAATCAAGCACTATACATAATTGAAACATTTTAAATTGTAGCCCTAAGCTAAACCTTAGTTGAGAACAATTGAAATATACCAAACTTCCTCCAAAGAAAAAATGTATTTGAAAATTCCTGATAAAAATATGGATTCATCTTTTAATAATAAAAGATAAACATTCTTATTAAAGCAGAAAATAATGACTACTTTTGTTTACTGCTGACCATTTTATTACTAATGTCTAAGATATTATCTGGCTCCCTCACCTAATTAGGCACATGCTGTAGGAAAAATTTATAGGCCAAATACTCCTAATAAATAAAAGGGAAAATATTAGGATCAAAATTTGATTGGCTATAAATATCTCTGCTCATCACTAAGAAAAAGCGTCAGTATCCCTTTGATTATTTCAAGACTTTTCTCAATTAGCCATTGTGACTATGTTGGCTACCCAAAAACATGCTTCTTGAATGTGTTAAGACTACCCCCAGAAGAATGTGACACACACAGGTGAAGCAGGAGACTAGAGTGTAGCAAAGCTGGCTGGGTTAGCAGTGTGACCTCTTAATTGCAAAATCCCAGAATGTGTGCCCAGAATAGTTCCCAAATCCCTGCACGTGGACTTCTTGGGAGATGTCTTGGTTATGTTTCTCTCATTGCCGAGCAAAATACCTAATGCCCAAAATGAAGGAAAGGTTTATTTAGCTTACAGTTTGTGAAGATTTCAGTTCATACTCAGCTGGCTTCAAGGCAAGGTGGAGTGGCTGAGAGGAAACTGTTCAAGGTGGCTTTTGGTGGCTGCAACAGATCCAAAAGCAACAAGAACAAAAGGTCAAAAGCAAAAAAGGATGAAGCACAACTGTTTTCCTCCTTTATAGTGTATGCAGGCTCCCCACCCCGAAACAGGTACATCACTCACACCACCAATCCCAGCATGAGACAACGAACTAATCACAAACTGTACAGTCAGCCACATTTGAAAGCCTCCTATGACTGCATGAGGCAGTGGGGGACATCTAGACACAAACCAAACCAGAACTCTAGCAGGTTTTCAATAGGATGGACTAGACCTGACATCAGCCTGAGATCTGGGTGTTACAAAATGGACAGCCCACATTGAGCTGTTTGCCATTTCTTGCATGATGGCCCATCCCCGTGTTGGAGAATGTACTTCTTTTTGTACTTTTACTTATCCCAAATTTGCTCTTCAGAACCTGCTTTTTTTCTACTTTTAATAAATGTAAAACTATTTGGGCTTATCTCAATTCTTTATTCGGACAGAAAGAACCTAGAAAACACCCCCGTAGAAATAGACTCCAGCTCCCCTAAAACCCAGTAATATGGGCACATAGAAACAAATGACATTTTTACTCTGATTATTTGGTGAAAATAAACCATTTTAAACCTGTCAGAGCAAGTCTGAGATAGATCATGATTGTATGGTATCAAGTAATACTTAGTAGTAAGTGTAAAATTTTCATATTTTTTTGAGACAGGGTCTTGCTGTGCAATTCAGGCTGACCTTGAACTCACTATGTGGCCAAGGCTGGCCTTGAACTTGCAGCAATTCTCATGCCTCAGCCTCTTGAATTCTGGGATTACAGGTATGTGCCACCATGTCCAACTTTAGTTCTCTTTTATGCTTGTATAGTGCAACCAAATCAGAAATATTTTATAAATGAGCAAAAGAAAAGCAGAATGATCTGTTTACAGGAAGATTTTGTAAACTAGAGTAGCACTTCCTATGACTTATCAGTTTGAAGGTGAAACAGTTATTTACTTACTAAATTTTAATGATACAGCATTTTAAAATAATAAAATTTCCTTTTTAAAATATTTCTTCTTTTGTATAATCTCATGTAGCTCACCTAATTTACACACAAACCCACACATAGCTAACTGCCTAGATCATGATTGAATTTCCAGTGCATTAGACAACTCCCTCATGTTCTGTTACAGTATTCTTGAATGCTCTAAAAATAACCAGTTTTAACTTCTGTCACCATAGAATCTTTGGATTTGTGTCTGTGCCCTTTTTTTACCCTTATAGTACAGGGGATTGAAATCAGAAGTACTCCACAACTAAGCTACATCTCCATCCCTTAAATTTGTTTTTTAATTTTGAGACAGGATCTTGCTAAGATCTCCAGATTAACCTGGGCTAGGGATATAGCTCAATGGGAGAACATTTGCCTAGCATGCAAGGAGGGACCTGGGTTCCATTTCCACTACCAAAAAAAATCAAGATTATATTTGCAGAATAGGAATCTACAAACTGCAATTCAAAGGCCAAGTGTGGCCCACATACATTTTATTGGAACACGGCTATAGCCATTCATTTATGTGTCGTCTGTGGTCACTTTCACACTATAGAGTCCAATTAGTGTGACAGATCATGAGCCCCAAATACTAAAATGTTTATTATCTGGCCTTTTGGCAATTTTTACTAAAGCAAAATACGCTCCCATCCATGACCATATAAACTAAATTGAAATGGGTGCTCATATTTCTGAAAAAAAAATCTAACACTATGCACAGAAGTTTTATCTTCGATTCAAAAATGGAAGACTTAAATGTTCTTTTGCTCTAAAATAGATAAACCAATACTATACATGGATCACAAAGCGAGCAAAATCAAGATACATAAGCACATAGTTTGATTCTATCTAAGTGGTTTTAAAACAGGCACAAAACTGGCTAGGCTCCCCTTGCCTCAACCTCTGGAGTAGTTAGGGTTACAGGCACATGCCGCCACACCCAGTTTTATGCATGTTTTAAAACCATTTATATTACATGAATTTCCATTCCAACCAGCAGTGTATGACAGCCTCAGCTGCTATATATCTTTACCAGTGTTTGATCTCGTCTATCCATTGAATTTTAACCATTATGATGGTCACATGGTATTATCACTATTTTAATTTGCATTTTTGATGACTAATGATATGTTTACTGGCCATACTTACATATTCTTTTGTAAAATGTTCGGGTATTTTTAGCAATTATGTTACTGTGTCATTGTCTTTTCTGTGAGTTTTTTATATATTCTAAACATAAATCCTTTGTTAAGTATATTTTAGAAATCTCAGACTATGGACTCACTTTTTATATTCTTAATTTTTTTTTAATCTTAAAGAGGATAAAACCAAGGAAAATAAAACAGAATAAAGCCAATCAAAACAAACCAGTGTAAGTGATACAGGACTATAAAACAATACAAAATCAGTAATAGTTACTATAATGCCTCTTGTCTTTAAAATAGCTGCAGATACCTTCAGACATAGTGAGAATCAAACAGAACAGAACCAATAAAAACAAAACAATAAATGTAATAAAAGACTTCAAAACAAGATAATAGTAAATCAAAAATGACTACCATAATATATCTTGCCATCTTCAAAACAGCTGTTCATGCCAACAGATATAATAAATGAAACAAAAGAATGAAAATGGCACAGGGCTTCAAAAAAAGAAAATGGGGAATTAACGATGGCTACCTCCTTCAGAAGAAAATCCTCCTCCCCAGATGCTACACTTGGTACTGTGTACTGGTATCTTTTGATCAGACCACTGGCCCTAGACCTACAAGGTCAGTAAAACACCAAAATACCACAAGCATCAAACTGCATTTCACCTCAGTAGTCATCATTGCAAGCTGTGTTTCGCTGAATAAGCCAGTCACTGATAGGTGGGTATTTTGGCTCTTGTTTGCCAGCCCATGATCCAGAAGGGGGGGATGGGGTCTGGCTGTCCCCCCTGCCAGTGGTGGCCCACACATGGTGCTGGTTTGCAGGGTGTGCTTGCTTCTTGGTGAGGCCTTGTTCTCTCCCTCTGCAGTCTGCAAGTAGCAGTGACTCAGGGAGAAAGGCTTGAGTCTGGCTGTACTCCTGCCAGCAGTGGGCCCACACATGGCACTAGTTTTCAGGGAGGGCTCACTTCTTGATGAGGCCTTGTTCTCTCCTGTCACATTTTTTATATTCTTAATAGTATCTTTATTCATGCTTTTAATTAAGTTTAGCCATTTTCATATAGCTAATACTTTTGGTATCATACTTTAAAAAGTATTTGTCTGAGTTAGGGATGTAGCTCACTGCAAGAATACTTGCTTAGCATGCAAGGAGGACACTGGGTTCCATTTCCACTGCCAAAAAACAAAAAAAATCAAGACAATATTCTCTGATGTGTATTCACAGAACAGGAATCAGCAAGCTAAACTCAAAGGCCAAATGTGATCCACATGCATTTATTGGAGCACAGCTATAGACATTCATTTATGTATTATCTGTGGCCACTTTCACACTATGGATTCAAATTAGTGTGACAGCTCAAATGAGCCACATCCTACAATATTTAGTATTTGGCCCTCTGCAAAAAAAAAAAAAAAAAAAAAAAAAATTGCTAATTTCTGTTCCAGATCATTTTGCTCTATGATATATCTCAAATTAATTTTTATATATGATTTGAGATAGTTTATTTTTTTCGGTATAGATATATAGTTGGTCAATCATTATTTGTTTAAAAACCACCCTTTTCCTATAGAATTGTAATGGTCTTTTTATTATATATCTGATAAGTTGATATGAGTAATTCTGTTTCTGTACTCTCTATCCTGTTCCATTGGTTTATTTGACTATGATGGTACAAATACCACACTGTCTTAAATATTGTAGCATTGTAACAAATCTTTTTTTTTTTAGTTTATTGAGACAGGGTCTTGCTATGTAGCTCAGGTTAGCTGCGAGGGTCACTATGTAGCACAGGATGGACTCAAATTCATGACAGTCCTCCTCCTTCAGCCTCCCAAGTGCTGGAATTACAGGTGTGCACCACCATACTCAGTTACAAATCTTGATATTGATATCTGATAGTATAAGCCCTTTGGTTTTGTTGCTTGTTTTAAGATTGCTTTGGCTCTTCTAGGACTTTTGCATTTCTGTGTAAATTTAATTTTTCAATTCTATTTTAATTGAAAATAATTGTATATATTGTCATGAGACAATGTGATGTTTGACATATGAATAAAATGTGGGATGACTAAGTCAAGCCAACCATTTTGTTGATATCTACTACAAAACTTACTGGTGCTCCATGAACCTAGGGTTTAGTGAAAACATTGGTCTCACTCCCATCCTTACTCCATGGACCTAGCGGTCAGTGGATCTTTGGCCACACCTCCACCTCCTTGCTCCATGAACCTCAGTGTCATGGGAATGTCAGCCTCACCCCTCTCCTTGCTCCAGGGACCTAGGGGTTGGTGGGATCACTGGTCATCCTCCATTCTACTGAAAAGACCAGAGCAGCTCAAGAACAATTAGTGACCCCTTCCACCACTTGCAGAATCTTGGTGGGCTGGTGGGAGCCTCAGCAACCACTCACTCACACAGAGGACCTCATGGGGATTGTGACAGTGTGATGTATTTCCCTCTCAAATAAAGGACCTCGGTAGGTAAACAGGAGCAGCAGTGAACTCCTCATCAGCTGTAGGACTTTGGCGAGTCTGGCAAGAGTGTGTGTGAGTCTTTCCATTCCATACAGAGAACACCAGGTGGGTTGAGGAGGTTTCCCCAACCAACAAGGCTTCCCCAACCCTGAGGTAATCAAAAGGGCCTACAAGGCACCCAGTGACCTAGTAGAGTCCCACCTGAGGTTTACACTATAGCCAGTTAGATCTGATGGCCTGGAACAGCCTGAAGGTATAGTAACAATAGGAACTAAGGGTTGGCTTACATCAATTCTGCTAGGTTAGTCACTCTAGGAAGAATATAGGACACTCTTCCCAACAGACCCTGCAGGAGGAATTCAAGTGAGTGTTCTTCCCCTTCATTATAGGACCCAGCAATTGGACATCAACCATACAGTAGGATCCTAAGACATACACGATGAACAATTGAGAATAGTGAGATTGAAAAGGCCAAAGTATTAACCCAAGAGGTGAAAATGACAAAATGAAAAAACAAAATGCAGTCTCATTCAGACCATCAGTAACAAGTACATGAGACATTGAAATAGAGAACATTAGCAAGTCACACACCTGAAATTTCTAAAAAGATAGTAAGTGAAATAAACAAATCCATGAGGCTATATAGGAAATCAGATTAGAAATAATCTCTCATGTACAGAAATAAATGACAACCTGAATAAAGGAGTTGCTCAGCATAGCTAGAGAAGATATACGTAAAACAGTACAGGAACATAGGAAAATGATGGGAACCTTAAATGAACAACACAGAAAAGAAGTAGAATGCATGAAACAAATTCAAAGAGATATCCAGGAAATAATAAATTCTATTGAAAGCTAGTGAAACTGAATGAAGTTAAGGATAGAATTTCAAACCTTGAGGACAGGATTGCAGCTAGTGATCATGAAAAAAAAACTACTAAAAATAACAAGACCACATGAAATGGCAATTCAACAGCTTTAAGATGATGCAAAGGGAAACAACACAAGACTAGTAGGCCTCAGTGGAGATGCAGGAATCAACACAAATGACATAGGTAAACTATTCACGGAAGTAATAGAAAATTTTCCAAACATGGGAAAAGAATCACATATACAGATAAGTGAGACATATAGAAGGCCAGACATTAATAACCAGAATAAATCTACGCTTCCGGCACAACTCTCACCAGCCCTGGGGAATGCATGCTGCCCTCAGACCTTGGCCCGTGCAGCCGTGTGCTGCTTGTGTGACTCCAGCCAGTACTGAGGAACCCCACACTGCCCTGGACCTTGGACTGCACTGCCGTGTGACTCCTGCTGGCCCTGTGGAACGTGTGCTGCCCTCAGACTTCAGCCCCCGCAGCCACACACTTCTTGCATGACTGGGACCTTGGCCCACATCCAGTGGAAGCCCAGACACAGGACATCTGCTGGCCCCTCAGGGACACTCCCTACCTCCTGGACCTAATACTGCTGTTGATCTTCAGCTCCCACCGTTTTTCCCAGAACCTTGACTACAGTTGATTAATTGCTAGCTTGAAGGGAGATTCAGTAGCTACCTCACCCAAACAGAAGATCTCAGGAGGCTCCAATCAATGTGGTGAGTATACCCCTAAAATAGAGGTGTACAGTAGGTAAATAGGGCCAGTACTAAAGCTCTCTCCAACGAACTGTAAGACATTAGTAAGTCTCACAACGGCATAGGTAACTTCTTTCTACACACAGAAAATATCAGGAAGGGTGAGGAGTGCCAATAAGGACTCTTCCCAACTTGGAGAAAATAAAAAGGGCTTATGAGACAGGCACACAGTAGGGCCTCAGCTGACACAAACACTATAGACAAGGAGATTTGGTGACCTTGAATAACCTGCAGATAAACTAATAACAGGAACTAAAAGTTGACCTACATCAATACTACTAGATTTATCAGCCCCAAAAGAATATAGGCCTCACTGAAAAGGCCCTATGTGGGAGATCAGGTGAGTGGTCCACCTATTCGTTGTGGGACCCAGCAATTGGACAAACATCAGCCTTACATTAGGAATCCAAGATACACACTACCAAAAGTTGACACTAGTGGGATTGAAGGACAAAAGATTAACTCGAAAGGGGAAAATGGCAAGACAAAAAAGCAAAATGCAATCTCAAACATCTAGTCCACCAGGAGCAAGTGCAGGAGACATTAAAATAGAGGACTTCAAAAGTAACACACCAGAAATCTCTCAAAAGATAGCAAGTGAAATTTAAAAAAAAAAAAAAAAAACCTCCGTGCAAATTTTCATTCAAATTTAATTGAGAAACAAGATACTTCCACAACAGACCAACTGAAGAAATTCACATCCACCAAACCAACCCTAGAAAAAGTAATGAAAGACATACTACATTGAGATAAAAGTGATCACAATCCCCAGAACGACACCAGAAAGAAACCACAAGGTAGGACAAGTAATTAAACAAGGGGGAGGGGGGAAAGCAGAAAGCAAACAACTAGAGCATTACATGACAAAGTCCAGCAAGTACATATCAGTGACATCCATAAATGTAAATGTCCTCAATTCACCTATCAAAAGAAATAGGTTGACCGAATGGATCAAGAAACAGGATCCAACAATATGCTGTCTGTAAGAAACACATATGACAAAAAAGGAAATGCATAGATTAAAAGTCAAAGGATGGAAATCACTATTCCATGCAACAAGAACCTGGAAAAAAGTAGGGATAACTATTCTATTTGCAGACAACATGAACTTCAAACCTAAAATGATTAAAAGAGATAGAGAAGGTCACAAATACTCATTAGTGGAAAAATTCAACAGGAAGAACTAACAATTATTAATCTATAAGCACCAAATACAGAAGCACCCAACTATGTAAGAAAGATACTAATAGACATAAAAAATCAAATACACAAGAACAGAATTATAACAGGCCCATTGTCACAGAGATCAAGTAGACAAAAACTCAGCAAAGAAATAATAGAACTGAATCATACCTGTGAGCAAATAGACTTAGTAGATGTTTACAAAGTGTTCCACCCAACCACAACAGAATACACATTCTTCTCAGCTGTTCATGGAACATTCTCCAAAATAGACCATATATCATACCATAACACGTTCTTAAGTAACTGCAAAGGTATAGAAATTATCCCATGCATAATATCTGACCATAGTGCACTGAAATCAGAAATGAATGGCAAAAGAAATTGCAAAACCTACATAAATACATGGAAATTAAACAGCAACCTTTTGAACAACCAGTGGGCTACAGATGAAATTGAAGAAGCAAAGCAATACTTACAATTCAATGAACATGCAGAAACAACTGCATTCTGTGGGATGCACTGAAAGTGGTCTTAAGAGGGAAATATATAGCAATAAATTGTCATATCAAGGAAACAGAATGAGGGGCTGGGGATTTAGCTCAGCGGCATAAGTGCCTGCCTTGCAAGCAGGCAGTCGTGAGTTCGAACCCTGGTACCAATAAAAAAAAATAAAAAAATAAAAAAAACAGAATGAGCACAAATAACCTAATGCTTCATCTCAAGCTTCTAGCAAAAGAAGAGCAAGTTAAACCCAAAGATCATAGAAGAGGAAATTATAAAAATGGGAGCAGAAATCAATACAATTAAAACTTAAAAAACTACAAACAATGAATCAAAAGGCTGGTTTATTGAGAGATAAAATTGACAAACCTCTAGCTAACCTCATGAAGAAAAAGAACCCAAATTCACACAATAAGTACTGAAAAGGGGGTAATTACTACAGATCCCATGGGAATTCAAAAGATCATAAATACCTACTTGGAAATCTGTACTCATATAGAGTGGAAAATACAGAGGAAATAGATTTCTAAAAGCATGAACTACCAAAGCTCAACCAAGAAGATATAACAATTTTGAATAACCCAGTATCAGCTATTAAAATTGAAAACGTGATTAAAACTTATCAACAAAGAAAAGCCCAGGTCCTGATGAATTCACGGCTGAATTCTATAAGAAACTTACAGAAAATTTAATGCCAATACTCAAACTCTTCAATGAAATGGAAAAGGAACCAATCCTTCCCAAGTCATTCCGGGAGGCAAGTATTACTCTCATACCCAAACCAGAGAAAGATCCAACCAAAAAGGAAAACTGTTTAACCATTCTCACTAATGAACATTGATGCAAAGATTCTCAATAAAATACTGGCAAATAGAATGCAGCAAGTCATCAGGAAGGTTTTACATCATGACCAAGTGGGATTCTTCCCAGGAATGCAGGAATGGTTTAACATACGCAAATCAATCAATGTAATACACCACATCAACAGAGCCAAACACAAAAACCACATGGTCATCTCAATAGATGCAGAAAAAGCTTTTGATAAAGTCCAACACACCTTCATGATAAAAACCCTTCAGAAACTCAGAGTACACAGTGTCTACCTCAATCTTATGAAAGCTATCAATGACAAACCAATAGCCAGCATTGTATTAAAGCTTTCATTTTAAAATCAGGAACAAGACAAGGATGTCCACCAACACCATTCCTATTCAGTATAGTTCTGGAAACACTACCCAGGGCAATCAGACAAGAGAGAGAAATAAAAGGAATAAAGATAGGAAAGGAA